CGCCGGTCCCCTATAACGAGGAGATCCCGGGTCACTGCAGGAAACGGCTCGAGGACTTCGGCAAACTGTCGCTGGCCGCGCTGCGCGAGGGCAGATGCTGCTACACGGAGGCGGAACTGAGGGCTCGCGGGGGCGGCATCGAGGTCACCAGGTTGGGCTTCCTGACCAAGGGGCTGACCTTCGGCCAGCGACGGAAACCGGACCTCTACTCGCCGATCCACATGGCCGTCGCTGAATTCCTGGCCGCGTATTACCTGACCTCCGTCGCCCAGTACGCCAACATCCTGCGCAGGGAACTGGAAGGCCTGCCCACCGGCATCATCAGTCATTTGGCCGGACTGCTGGGGCCCAAGACTCATCTGATACTCAACCAACTCTGTCCACTGGAGGTTCCGCCTAGAGCGGTGTTCTCTTTGCTGAAAGCGGCCGGAGCGTCGGACGGGAACATCTCCGCCGTGTGTAGGTTAGTGGGGGCTGGTCCTGGGTTTGGACCGGCGCCCAACGAGAGGCCGCCGGCCCCGTTGGTTCACACGTCACCCCTGGAGCTCGAGGGTTGGGCGAGGATCCTCGAGAGCCCCGCTTGCACCCTCGAAGCCCTCGAGGTGATCTTCCAAGTGGAGAGGGGCTCGGACCCGAGGTACCTGGACGACTTCTTCGAGGCGCTGGCCGGGAACGAGAGCGTGAAGCTTGTCAGGATCACCTCCCTCCTCGGACAAGAGTTCCCTGCCGATGAGGCGCAACGATTGGCCGGCCATCTGAAGAGCGTTCTCGGCAAGAAGAAGCTGAACGACTTCGAGCTGGTCATTACTTGCTTGGAGGAGGCGGCTCATGACAGGTGAGGCTTCTGCAGTTTCGCTTCTTGCCTCGAACCGGGATTCCGTAGTTATACGAGGAAGATGGAAGGTAGAATGGTTTATTATCTTACGATCGGTATTTGGAATTACTGTTATTCTATTCGAGATCTCTTTGTTCGGTCATTGCGCTTGAATAATATGAAAATACGTAATCGTTTCACGAAGATTCATCGCGCGGAAGGGGATGAAACGTGCCGTCCAGAGAAAGGAGGAAGCGAGTTTATATCGCGTTCCGACTCCTTTCATGTGTTGAGTACGCGTTTTCTATTTCGACATTCTATACTGAAACCCGTACGTCGCACGCCGACTTAACTTCGTGCGAACTGATTGGAAGTGGACTGTATAAATATTTACTTCAGTGGTAATAATTTGCTGTTTAATTTAGGGAGTTCAGTAATACTCGTCAGCGGCGAGAGTCTACAACGACGTCTATATACTACGTCTCGTGTGTCTAGTTTCAATTTATAACGTCCCGAGCGTTCTTGGCACTGACCATAGCGAGTAATAAAACCAAGGATCGCCTCGACTCCTGGCAAACAGATGTAAGGTTAAAATTCCGGTAAATCTACAAAACTGGCAAAACGCGCCGAAGCAACTGCGACTAAACTAGCGAAGTAACGGTTCCTCGGGCTTTTATTTCTGCTATGGTAAAAATACCCAGTGCTCTAACGTGCCTCGCAGAAGGTTTCATCGATAGCCCTCCTAAAGCGATTTAGCGACGCGACATCATGCACCCTTCCACTAAAAACTCATTTCACGCGCATCCGGTCTGCCCTCGATTCGCCGAGACACCGGGACGGCAGCGCTAAACCGAAAACTTTCCTCGATACTCATCGTTGTTGCTTCCCTGCGGGCCCTGGGGCGGGATGCCCGGGAAAACACGTGGAAATCTTGGGAGCGGCCTCGACACGCCCGGCCCGCGACCATACGGCCGACGAAATTGCTGGGACCATACTGCCGGCTTCCGTTCCAGCGTCCTAGAATAACGCGGAATCGTTCGGGGTGAAACGCGCGGAGCGCAATAACATTAAGGGGAAGTTTTCAAGGGTTGCCGAAGGGAAACGCTCGTTAAGCTGACGGGGTAAAACCCTTGGACCGTCTGCGCGAGTCCCGGCTAATGTCTGAAAGTGGATTAAAAAAGTTTGTCCTGGAGGAGCGTAACCGCAGACGGACACGTAAATACATCAGCTTCTGTCTCGAACCTCTGGGGCTTCCCAACGCGTGCAACAGCGCGAAGTGTTCCTTTAAGGGGCGGGTGCTCGCCGGGAAACGTTGAATAATGTTAAACGGACGTGGAATATTCTAAAAAACTGTGTACAGCTTAGAAATGGAAATGTAGCCGAGAGAGCGACGATTCTGTGCACAGGAAGAGCATAGAAGAATCGTTCGCGCGACGCTGTTTCCGCGGCAATCGCGCGTTTGAACGTTTCGTACGTATTTTCACTTTAATTCCGGACACGTTGGGAGACTTCTCAATTCATGAACGCATAAACATCGTGCAGACACCCCGTATATTAAAGAAAACCCGGACGATAAACAGAGCATGTGCAAACGTCCGAGATCTCCCTATGAAAAATTCCCTCGGTGCTCGGGCAGCGCGGCGGGTCAAAAGGTAAATTAAAAAGTTCACTTTGCCCTCGCACGACAGCGAGGAAGATATTTACCGGGACGCGGAACGGAGGGCAGGAAAAAGATCCTGTTTACCCTGCGAGCGGAGAGTACGAATGCAGGCGGGCCGCTCCCCCCCATTTGCATAACCGCTCTGGTTTCTCGTCCGCGCGGGCGGCCGAGAGCTTCCATTCGCCGCGTTAGGAACCCGGCATCCAACCGTTTATTTTCGGAGGAAACTGGTCGCCTCTCGCCTGTGGGAAATCGAAACGCCGGGCGAATCGCGTGAAACCACAACAATAATTTCCAAACGCTCTCCTTAGCGCCGCGATTCGTACCAGCATCTCCGTTCGGTTTTCACCGGCGCGCGTATCGAGGCTCGAAAGCAGAAGCCGAGAACTGGGTTAAGAATATTCTCCCGCTCATAAATGAAATAAGGAGCAACCTCTCCGCGGAGAGGAGGGGAGCCCGGGGCGACTCCGGCGAGGGAAGTTTACCGGTTTTTGATCATTTCATCTCCCCCTTATTACTCGCCTCTCTAACGGGGCGAACGGAGTGGTAAGCAGATCTCCGTAGGTCTGAATATTAACAGGGACGAAGTTTGAAAGTGTACCGCGACGGCAAAACCGAAATGAAAATTACCCGCGCGCTCGCTCGCCTGCTTCCCGCGGAAGTTCGTTCATCCGTTCGAAAGGGCGGCGACGCTTAATGCCGCGCGAAGACGCAACGCGGATCGCTTATTCGACGAAACGGAAACGCAACGTTCGAGTTGCAAACGACGCTCCCGCGGATGCACCTTCGCGAATCTTTCCGCGACGCGAGTTCCCTTACAGGAGTCTACGGAACGTAAGCGCTCGACGCGAACAGGCAATTTCAAGGTGCTCGCGCGCGGGCAAGATTCATTGGCGCGACGAGCTTCTCGTATTCCCGGATGACTCCCCAAAAATTTTCAATTCCCCCGCACGCTGTCCGCTGGAACCTACGGGTCGTCGGAACTTCCCGGGCATCGCCGTTCGGAAGTTTATACAAAGGGTGTGCCGGGCATACCCGGTTCGTCGCGTGGAATTCGCTCGGAATTAGGAAACGCGACGTCCCTTCGGGAATAACAGAGTACCACTCTGAATAAATAACCCTCCGCATCGCTATTTACAACCCATACATTTCCGAAAGGCGTCCTCCCCTCCAGGGTCGCGCCGCGATAGCCGCGACACTCGCGTATCCGCGAGAAGCGGATCGCAAATACGTCGGAATCCGATATTCGAGACACGAACAGGGCCGCGCGCCACCCTCCGTCAGAAACGAGGCAACAAGGGCGGTGTAACAATGAGCGGCCGTCAAGACGGGGTTGAATTGGGGCTGCACAAAGTCCGGGGACGCAGGAAAGCCGAGAAAGCGGTGGAACAATATGCGAGGGTGGCGCGAGGGTTTGCGGTTCTTTAAAGCGTGTGTTCGAGGGTGGCGAAGAACCGGTGCGCCGCGGCCCGTGGCGAGAAAGTAAGGACTCGCTTTTTCATATTTGTACGCCGGACCAGCCGCGCTAGAACCTGCCCGCTTCTGTTCACCCGAAAACCCTCTTTCGACATCCTCGCGGCGTCTCTTTCCTTTCGCCGTTAATACCCGCGTTTCGCGCGGTCCCTTCCTTTCACGGGTCCCGCTGTTCCTTCCGCCGGCTTGGAAACTCGCCGAGAACTTTCGCGCTCCGAGGACGATTCATAATTTCTCGCGCCGCGGGACTTCCCGCTCGATGCTGTCCTTTTACCCCGGGATCCCGAGCCGCTGTTCGGAGCTGCGATTCTAAGCTGGTTTCGCGAGCTGCGCGATCGCGTTCCCTTTTAATCGCGGCCCCGTTCCGCACACCATCTGCGCCGCTTTTTACAGTTTTATCGCTCCCGTCTTCCTCCCTGCGGTCTTTCACGCTTCAGCCTCGAAAACGACGCGACACCAGGGAAGAATCGCTGCCAGGACGTGGCGCGAGCTGTTAAGAGCAGCCGGGGGTGGGCAATCTAACTACCATTCGCCCCGGGGCGGAACGCTGCCGCCTCGGCGGCTCATTGTTGCGGATCGAGACAACTTCCCGCCCCTTTCACCTTCCCTCGTTCTGGTTCCCGTTCCCCGGCCGCGAGGAGCGCCACTCGAAATCGGCCCTGGATGTCCTGGGACAGGCATTCTCAAACTTTTCCACTTGCCGACCTCGTTTAACCGAGCGAATGTCGTCGCGAGTCTGAGGGTGGAAGTATGCGAACTGGGAATACGGATTGAAACATTCGCTGATAATATTGTGATTACTATATTATACACAGTGAAAGAGTGGATCTTGAGTAATCGAGAGCTAGGAATGAATACACGTATTTAATAAAATATGGGAACAACACGGACGACAGGTAAAAACAACTCAATGCCACGGAGGCCAACACGACTCTGCTCCCGCAACTCTCTTACAGACATTCTCTCCGAAAAATCATTCTCTCCCCCACAAATTATATATATAAATCACACTACAAACACTCGGATGCAGCCCTGGAAAGCTGGCCCCGCAATCCTGCGTCCGCGACGCTGCGCAGGCCACTTTGCCTCGACCGTTTTACAGCCCGTCCTTCACTCACACTCATTCTTACATTCACTCTTCTTGAAAATACCTTAACCCACGCTAAAAATTCTAGATAAAAGACGTTTATTTTCCAAAACATGTTCCCCCGGCCTTACAATGTCCGAAGGTGGATGTTAACTTAGTTTTTTAAATGTTTATGTATGAATTAGCTGTATGTACAAGCTTGGCTATTAATTATTAATTAGTAGTATACATAAATAGATAGACCTAACTAGATAAATAACTAAATAGATAGATAAAAGAAAAAATAAATAGAAGAATAAATACATAAAATAAATAGGTAAAATAAATAATTAAAATAAATAAAATAAATAAATAAGTACGTAGATAAAATAACTAAAGTAAGCAAAGTAAAGTAAATATAAAAGACTGGTTACATTGTTAGGTGGTTAATTGGTTAGGTCGCTAAAAATTCTAGATACTACAATAATGAATCGTAGTAAAACTCATAGGCACACTCCGCGCACAGTGTTGTCGAACAGTTTCGAATGAATTCCTCGTCGTTGCTCGTCGAGTAATTTTCCGGACTCACTAACATCCCTGCAACCCTCGCTTTGAGAATAGTCCTGGGAGATGACTGGTAAGAACGCGAGGTCGATCGATGGACCGCGTCGAGTACGGGGAATTCCCTTGTTCAGGGATACACGAGACACCGGTGGAAAGAAAACCGCACCGTGCTTCGCGGATTGCGCCGTACAACCGATTGCTTTGCAATTTCGTCCTCCGGTTCTCCCGGAGGTTCCCTGCTGTCACAATCCAACCCACGGTCGAACCGAATCAGGAGAAAATTAGGAATCTCGAGGACAGTGGCTCGTTTTATATCGGAGACCACGGAACGCCGGCTAATCGCGTCATCGATCTGGCTGCGAAACTCGCTTAAGCTTGGTGTCTTATTAGGGACTTTCCAAGCAGAGGAAAGGAAAGAAAATTCAGTCGTAGACGTAATGTCGACGCAGCGTTTGATTATTAAAATATGGAACACGCGCGAGGAATCGCTTCGACGTAGGAACAGGAGAAGCTGTCGTTCTCGCTTACGGTGAGCCGGTATCCGAGAGAATTGACGCGAGCATCCGAGCCACTATCGTTTGGAAACCTCCGGGAACAGTAACTCGGGGCAGGTTTAATGCGGCATTCTCGTTAAACGGGGGGGAACAGCGTAACGGGAATTTCCCGGCAGTCCGGGAAGGGATAAGTCCATTCTTTCGGTTCCTTATCGCCGGACGAAATTTCCCTTCCAGCTGGCATGGCGTTTACGAGCGGCGCTAATGCAACGTTTAAATAATAAGACTTTACCGGCGGCCGAGAAAGACACGTCTTATCGGTGAACCGGAGAAAATCCGAAACACGGCGAAACTCGGCGAATTTACGAAATTCCCTGTTGGCACGAATGGGAAGCGCGATCGCGGGATTCGTTGGAAAAAAACCGACTCGTACAGTATCGGTCGATTAATTCGCAGCGGGTTCTAATCTGGAAGGATTGCTGACGTTGATGAAGAGGCCGGTGCCGGCATTTCATAAAATCCCGGTCGGTGAGTGACAGCTGACGGAATATTTCCAGCGGCCGGCGCGTGCAAGTGATAGCGGACGTGCTTGGTCAGACGGCCTTTCGATATTCCAACGCGGGGATCCTTGACGCGTTGAAAAATGGAGATCGAGTCAGGCGATCGGGACACCGATTATCGCGGACTGTGCATCGACGAACCGGAAACAGAAGAATCGTCCGTACCGATACTTCCGCGCGTAAAACAAGCCCCGACGGAACGCGCTCCGTATCGTCGGTTCCGAGTGAACGTTAATAATTCGAAAATATTGAAAAGTATTCACGCGTGATCGTTACCGGATTCGTTGGCGGAACACACGGGTTCGACGTCCGATAGATATTTTTGCAACACGCGAACCAGCCGTTCGATCGTCGGCTGAAACGGCATCGCCGGCGAACGGCGGACAGCCGCCGCTCTAATTAACATCGGAAACGGGATCTCCGGAGCGAATTGAATTTCGAAAATATGAAAACCGAAGGCACGCTATTTGTCGGGTAACGGTTCATGAATATGCGTCGGCCGCGACAGGCCGAGAGCAGCGTTTGTTTTCCCGTCGCGCGCCGGCTGGAATAACATTTGCCACGGGGCCCCGAAGCCGGTAAAAATGTTCTCCTCGAGTCCCGAAAACCAACGGCGCGACGCTTAACGCGGAAATCCCCGGCGGGGTTCCCCGGCGTGTTACGCCTCCGGAAAATCCGCGCTCTCGTTTGCAATTCTCCGAGGAGGAGCGGCTGCCGCCACCCTCTCCGCCGCTTCTGCATAACTTGCGCGCGTTCGCGGCTGCTTCTCGAAATAATGGCGGAGTAGAACGTTACGCGTGCATGAATTTTCATGCGTACCGGCCGCGGAGGTCGTGTCCGCGAGGAGTTTCCGCGACGCGGGCGTCTTGGAGCATCGTTCCGCGGCGGAGACGCCGAGAGCGAGCGATCGAAAGAGTTTCTCTCGATAGGGCCGGCGTCTATAGCCGAATCCGCTGATCGGCCGATAAATCGGCTATCTGGGTCGTTCCCGTCAAACTCGTTCCTATTGATCCGCGAATGCCGGTCACATTTCCAGCATCTTCGCCGGCGTTCCGCGAACACTGCAGTTCCCCGTGTATCGGCAGCAGTGTGTCAAGCAGCCACTGATGAACGAAACTGCGGCGCTTGCGAAACGTTCGCTGGAAAACTGCAGCGCTTCCTTAAGTTTCGGGACGCCGGCGCGGACCGCTTCCCTGCCCGAATCTGTATCCGCCGGTGTTCTTGTATCGCAGCTCGAGTCAAACAATCTCTCGGATCTCCGCCGCGAACATCGAAAATATTGTGTCAGCCGCCGTTAGATGTTTCCCTGGGAAACATTATGCGGAGAATAATCCACGGCGTCAGCGTTTATTTCGAAACACTGGCACAGTCAGCTACGAAAGCACGCCGCTTTCCACGGATAACGAGCGTACTCGTACAAATTAATTGGAATCCTCGCAACAGAGAGAAAGGAAACGAAATTGTCACGTTGCACGGCTAACCGTCGAACGAAATCAAGGTGATTCGGGTGGAATTTATCGGCTGTCGAATTATCGCGGCCGCTGGGAGCGCGACGTCGAGAACGTGTCCGCCGGGTTAAGCATTTGTAACGAACACAGAGCGATCGATCGGTTTGTTTCAGACTGGAGTGCGTGGTGAACGCCCTTTGCCGCGGGCTGAGCCACGCGTCGAGCAGCCTGGCCCGGCTGGTGCTCGACATGAATCTGTCCGGCGAGCAAGTGTCCCGGGTGTGCGCCGCTCTTCGTGGCTGCGTTCAAGTGCAGGCGCTGCACTTGCCCCATTTGGGATGCGGCTGCGAGGGGTTGGCCTCGGTCGCCGAGCTGCTCAAGGAGAGGCCGCTGTTGGCGCTGAACCTGGCCGGCAGTTGGGGCGCCAAGAACGAGGATCCATCCAGCTCTGGCATCAGTATGGGTAAAACCTTTACATTTTCACCCCCTTTTGTTTCTCGCTCCATCAAGTCGTGCTTTCGTCGATATTATTTTGCATGTCAGTTTCGATTGATGCCATCACACAAACATAAGCAACTATACGTGTAATCTAGTTTTAATACCGACGAAGTTTACGCTTACAAATACTGATTAACACGTTCGCTGGCGTCACGTGTTTGTACGTAATTCTACACTTTACGTAGTGGAAATGAAATTGATCCTATAGATATTGTCATTAGAAGTGATAAACAACGATATTATATTTAGGAACTGAATGACTCGTTTCGCTTTCATTTTTCGATTTTCTTTAGAAGCTTCATTGGATCGAAGAAAATATAATTGAGACCGTCATCGGAAGTGCTGGTAGCGAACGTGTTAATCAGCCTGACAACAATGGCTGTCTTACATTCGTATTAAAAATACAAAAAAAAATAATTCAGAAAGTATGAAATCTTTCATCAACTAGCAGAAAAGAAATTGCTTTCGTCCATGACCGAAGCGAGCGTGAACGTGTTAATACTTACAGTTTCTTCGCTCCAATCTCTTCTCCTCCTAATCGTACGATCTAGACCACCGCGAGCAGCAGATTCCGTTTTGCCTGCTTGTTTCCCGGAATCAACCCCGGAAAAGCTGATAAGCTCGTTCCGAACGGCACGAACGATTGCCGCGAGGAACGAGGTCGAACGCTCTCGCGTTTTTCTCTTTCCCGTTTCCAGCGTTCCGCGTCCGTCGCCTGTGCGCGCACTCGTGGCCACGGCTCGAGCGCTATTTACAGGCTACACACAAAAGGATTTTTCCCCGGCCCGACGAAATAACGGGGACAAATATCCGCGACGCGTAATCCGCCGCTTCAATAATATCTCCGCGTATCATTATTCGCGATTCGCGGCATTGTTCCCGGCAACTGGAGCACGTGTCGCTGCCCGATGGACCGTTTTTACGAGGTCGCGGCCCACCCCGAATTAACGAGCAACGCGGGAACCGTATCGCCGCGTCTACGAATCTCGGTCGTCGTTACGCTCGTTTCTTTACTGCCTAACGGCAGGTAACGGGTTAACACCCTTAGCAGTCCTACGTCAGACCCGACATATTTTATTGCAACTACTACCTGTTTTAACAATTTTTTCTGTATTTCTTTGTAGCATCACGATTGTACCATTTAAAGGTAACGTTTCAATGACTCCCAAATATTCTTGAATAAATAAGTAGAGCGTCATATTAACCCTTTGCGAACGAATGTCGACATTTCGAGATGAAACGTTCATATTTAGAAGACTAAGTCACAGGCAAATGATTTAATTACTCGGATAATTAAAGAAACCAACAGCACTTCGGACCGCAAAGGGTTAACCCCTGACGGTACTATTTACTTTCGTTGCTAAGCTCGTGTAACACTACTATCGATAATTCGGAAGAAATGCAAGAAAATTTTCCATTCTACTCGAAGTAGAAATTTCATTTGGAGACGATACATCGATAAGAGCAAACTAGTTTTCTTTGATCCGTCTGTAACGAACAACATCGGTTGTGAAATTGGACTAGAAATCTCAGTCTTACTCGTCATCGCACGGCAGGGGGTTGAAGACGCCCGTTCGGTAGTCTGAAATATTCCGTGAGCGTGCGTGCAACTCGAAATAACGGTAAACGTCTGTACGAATCGATCGGCCCGAGTTTCGTAGCGCGGGGATGGCGCTTGAGCTCGACGGAGCACGGTTCATCGGTCACTCGATCAACAAGCAGGATCGCGGAGCGTGAGCTTAACGAAGCCCCGGGGCTTAAGACGAGCCGAATTAATGATCGCCCGCGGCTAAACGACCCGTAATTTCCCCGCTCGTGTTGCCCCGATAATTCGACTCGGGGAAAAATCGGCCACCCGTGGGATCGCGCGCGGAAATTTCATACGCGCCGGCGACCGGGGCTCGGGCACCGGCCGGCTGTCCGACGCCATTAGGGTCAATTTGCATGATAGCAGTGACGGACGAGGTTCGCAGCGATCCGGATGCACTTAGACGGTATTGCGAGCGTAGTGGCCCCGCATCTACTCGAAACTGGTCGCGGCTCGAACATTGGAAAGCAATCGGCCGGCTGAAAGATCCCGGCCGGGCCGGTGGAACACCGGATACCGGCAACGGGGAACTCAGCGGAGGATTAAATTCGACGTCGTCGGAATGCTGTTTTATTCCGGAACACGGTATATACATTCGATCCTAACGAATTCACCTCGCTCCGCCATTATCCCGCTGCGGATTTTTACGCGAATTCCCGGCGTTAGTTCAGAGTGACGCGTAGATTTATCATTCGCCACTCGGATTAGGGGAGAGTCGCGCGAAAGCTGTGGGTATGAAGGTTTATTAGAATCACTCGTTTATCGTGTTTTATGCGGTCGAATGTAATCGCGAAAAATCCACGGTTATAACGGCGATGAAACGGGTCGGTTCGAGCTCTCCGCGTTCCCCCGCGAATACAGCGAATGTAGGCACACCAATGGACCGATGTACAATTCGACGAGAGGTTTGTTTACGCGGAAAAAGATCCGGACCGACGCGAAAGCCAAATTCCGCGGGAAACTGACGCAAAATCCGGCGAATCGAACGTGCAAAAACGGGAACTTCGGGGTATCGGGGACCGCTGGCGGCGTGGTAATAGATACAGTCTCGTGCCACGGTGTTTCGGGGGTGTGTTACGGCCGGGTCGTTACCTCGGTGCAGCCTCGGAATTAGAAAGTTGGGATTAGAGCGGTTTCCGGCCTGCATCGCGCAGATCGGGGGACAGAAGTTCCGCGGTGTTTTACATTCGTACCGGAACGAAACTTCGGCCCTTCCGAACTTTAAGCTCCGCCGTTTGCCCGGGTCCGCCGCGTCGCCGGCTCACGTCAGGAGCGGACGTTCAATTTGTAAAGCCGCGTTCCCACGGAGAACGAAACTACAATCCCGAGGCGTCCGGGCACGATCATTCGTCCCGGGTAACGAATGCTGCCCGGGACGTTTCACGATTCGCGTCGGAATTAGTTTCGCCCGTCATCTTATCCGAGGCCGCTCGGGGAAATCGATCAGGCTTTTCCCGGGCAAATTGTTTCCGCCCGAGACCGCCATAATCAAGGCTAAACCGCTCGAAAAAGGAGCAACGCGCGCGGAACACGTTTTTCAGCGTTGATCGCGAGCCCGGTAATCCGGGGCGAACGAACCGCGGAACGGTTCGCAGGAAAATCCTGATTTACGACCAAGTTGTTGTTCTTATTAATTCATTATACGGCAGAAAGCCGTTGCACGGGTGAAATACAGGTAACGCGAAGACGCAGGGAAAAAGACGAAACACTCGGAAATCCTTTCTTTCTCGTTTTCCCCGCGATCGCGTAAATATTCCCGCAACGAGAACGATCGATCATCTTCGCGAACGCTCTGGGAGAGATGGATAATTCATTCAAATTACTCGCGAATATAAGGAAACCCGCCTCGGTGTTACTGCGGTTCACCGTGTAATCGAGCCTCGTTCCTGGCGAACCGGCCAATGCAAATCGCGATCGTCGGAATAGCCGGCAACGAATCCGACGATCGAGCGCGCCGATTACTGCGAAGGCTTGCGGCGAGTCGACGCGTCCCTCGTAAACCGCCGGGGGAATAAACTTTACGATCGAGCCTCCGTCGTCCGCATTCGAATTCACCCGGTCCGACGGAGCCACCCCGTCGCTCGCGATCCTTCCCGGTTATACGAGCGGAGTGGAAAAAATAAGTACGTGACACGAACCGAGCATATTCCCGGCGGGGTCTCCCGCGGGAACGACGACGACGACCGCGGTCCTCGCGGAAGACGAACGGGTTGCCCGGGGGAGGTTCGCCCGTGCAAACGACACTTTCCAACTGAATCTCCGCTCCGGAATGACGTATTAATCATCTCCGGCAGACCGAACCGCTCCTTTGTTACGCCCTCGTCGCGACCCGTGCTCTCCCCGCGATCCCTTGATGCCCTCCCTTTCTCTTTGTCCGCGGTATTTCTCTCGTTTTCGATCTCCGTCGCGGGGACCGCGGATCCCCGGCGAGTAAATTTGTTAGCAGGGTAAACACTTCCAGCCCAGACACGCCGGTGTTAACATTTCACGACGCGTTATCCGCCGCGTTTTACGTCCGCGGAGAGCGCACCGGCCTCTGAATAGAAGATTTCAGTCGCGCGCGCGTACCTCTGATAGTAATGTCCTCTTCGGCGGAGGTTGAGCGCCGGGCAGCTCGTGGCAGACGGTTTAACCCCTTGCCCTGCGATTTACTCCGCTACGATCGGCACGACTACTTAATGATTTATTATTTAATATTCTATACGAATCTTTGGTACAGAGTGTAATAATTGATAATAGAGGGATAATATTTAATTTAATCCTCGATGACTCGAATATTCGGGAGCCACTGAGGTTAAAGCGATTTATCTTCTGATTAATATTCCCCTTAGTTATTAAAGGGTTTGTTTCATTTATTCGAAGTCAAGAAGCTCCCTACAGCTTCACGTCAGAAGGCGAAACCCGAATTTTCTCAATTTTCCTTTTCTCCGCTTGAGCGTGCTCATTTTTTGGAAAGTCGAGCGATTCGAAACTTTCAAGCAACACCGCGCGATAAAATGACGATACGAAGCGAGAGGGAAAAGCGATGCGAATAGATAGACGACCGAATAATTGGCGATCAAGTAAAGGGAAGTCGATTAAGCGGTAACAGCTAGGAAGACGAATGTCCCGAAGATACACAGCCGCTGTCGGCGATCGCCGCGAAAAAGTAAACACAGCCACGCGCACCTGGCCCTCCCGCCGAGGCTCGCTAAACACTCGACGAACGATCCCGTCGTTTTCTACAGTCCTCGACGGCCTCGCGTCTCGTCGACTTAGATAAACGCCGGATCGTCTCGCGGTTGACATCGTCGTCGCGGTCGGTGTCTGTAAACAGTGTCGCGCGTGTACTCGCGCCGAAGGGTTGCGAGCTGGGTTGTTGCTCCGCCGCAGCCCGG